AAACTTTTATCTGCTGTCGTCCGTGCTGCGAAGTGCGACAGCGGCCAAAGTATATATGTCAAAGTATGGCAGCTTCGTTTTTATTCACGTCTATATACTGTTTTACTGCAGCGCCGGCTGCTCCCGTTAACGTTTTCAATCTCACTCATCGTTCTACTTGTTATTACCATTTCTCAAGTTTGAAACCTATAAATCGCTTCTCTCACAACGGAACGTGTCATATAAAATAAAAATTGTCTTCAAATGATTAAAGGAATAATTAAAATATATACGTATAATGAATAACCATTATTTGGATCGAATTATTTGTGAATTTTCCATTGCGATCGATACTGAGGATGATACAGGGGTTTGATTGCGTATCTCGAAATGAGATGAAAATTATAAAAGTGAGCAAATTTACTATTGTAAGCATTGACCAATTTAATAATGAGAGAGTATTCATTATTCAACACTTACAATAGTGAATTTGCTCATTTTTGTAATTTTCATCTCATTTGAGATACACAATTGACCCTTTGATTGTAAGATCCGAACATTTATTCTTTTGTCATTAAATGAGTTGATGATATAAAAAATTGTTTTTGCTATATAAGAAAGGACAGAGAGAACTTGCGTAGGTTTTCATGTTCTCTCTCTCCTTCCATCGATAATTAAAACTGTAGCTACTTTTTTAATGTAGCTATAATTTCAATTATCGATACTTTTTTAATGTTTGACACGATTTACTGATATTTACAGATAGATATTGTGTATCTTCTTAAATTAGAATTTGTTCAACGGGGAGTCAATATCAGTCAAGAGATATACGAAAATAACCATGGACAAAATCGATGGTCTAAAACGAGCTCAAGAGGAGCTGAGACCAAAACACTGAAGCTAACTGTTCGCTTCTAGATTAAGAGTCTATCAGTGCAATACATTAACGTGTGTAAATCTACTCAGTGACTTGCTTGCATAGACTCATCTTATATGCAGCGTATTAATTATACAATATCATCTGTATGTTTTGCGCGAATAAATTTGTCCATATTATTGTATATAAGTAAGTGACGATCTACGAGTATTTTATTTCATGACTTGCAGAATACTAAATGGCGCAATAAAATGTATTTTTAGCCTTCTGCATTCGTTCGATCAAATATAAAGAAGGAAGAACGCTGGTTCTATCTTGGACAGAATCTAACGCGCATGGAAAACGTCGAATCAGGAATGACCTCTTTTTCATAACGATTTGGTGTCTTTGGAGAATTTTTTTTTAACATTGTATATTAATGATTAATCAGTGCGCTAACGAGAATGGATGTACGATGAAGGAAAAAAAGGAACAGTAGCAAATAATTGATGACCATGAAGAGTGAGAAAATAATAAATGTGTTGATGTACTTTAAACTGTTTAATTAATCATTATTAAACAAAGTATATCTAATAAGACTGTAATACACAACATTAAAGATCGAGCTTGACCGTTTAAGATTTTTATTTTCTATTTGTTAATAAATTGTTAATTAACGTTCCGTTATCGATAGCTACCTACATTGTATACTGTACAATTGTATTAACGTATTTACTCCAGATTGCTAAGTAATTTTTACCTCCGGCGACTCGTCCGGTACTTTTCCCATCCAGCTGAGCGACAAGATATTGCAGTCGCACTTGGCGTTGTTGTTCTTCTCGAAATGCAGATGCATGGTTGCAACGCGATCGGATTCCCGTCGGCAGGTCCATCAATCTATCGAACCCTGGCACCGTTTTCCGCAGTCCCGACTCCGTGCCTCGCAGTCGGATTCCACGTCGTTTTCTCCGCGAGCATTCTCGAGTTTTCTCGCGCCGTACACGCTTCTTCGTTTCGCCGACGGATTCGTGATCGATAATCGAATCACGCTCACACGTCAACGAGCCCGCACGCGACCAGCGTTCCAGCTAACTCTCATGTGACCACCCTCGTGACTTGAAAATCAGGACAATACTCTTTCAAGAGAGTTTCGCGTCCTTCAAGGGTGGAACGCGCGTCGCGCTCACCGCGCGATTTTCTACCCTCGCGACGTCACCCAGCGCCGAATGTTACACTCCGGCCGTACGATCGGGAGAAATCACCGAAATGTCGTGTGATCGCCGGGTGGGAACCCTGTACGGTCTTGACGTATCTCTTATCTATTTCTTATCACCGTCGTTCGCCAACCCCGATCATTTGTTTCTTACCGCGGCCGCCATTTTGCCGCCCGAGACGCTACTCCACCTTTCAGGGTGCGAGCCCCGTGCCGCGCTACGCCGCCGGGCCGGGGGTGCGCGCTTACGTGCGGGTGGACGTGTGCCTCGCGGTGCCGCGCGCGGAACCGACGCACCAGCTACCGACGCGAGCCGCGAGCGTGCGTCCGACTGAAAGCTCGGCTGCGCGGAGTGGAGCCGGAGCGCGCGGGCCTCCGCCGCCGCACTCTTGCTTCCGTCCGTCGCGTTCGCGCGACGAACGTATTGATTGGAGTCAGCCGTTCCATTCCGTGTGGTCCGCGGCCGCCTCGTGCTCCCCGCTGCATCACTAAATTCGCCGCGAGCTTTTCCGCGCCGCACCGCGTCGCGACGCGGCGACGCGCTATGGAACCGCCGGTGGAGCCGCCCCTTTCTGCAAACGCTTATATTCCGGTGGAGCCGCCCCTTTCTGCAAACGCTTATATGTAAAAAAAAGAAATTATTAATATTTTGTGCAAAGGAAGAACATATCGATACACTTTTCAACACACATTTTGCTTGTAAATTGAGTTCTATATTACTAATAATATTTCTGATCTAAAAATTTATGTAATTACTCGATTTTGATGTATCATTTAAATAATTATTATTATTATTCTTCATTGACTGAATTCTTCATTCAATTTATTTTATTAAATTTGTTTTTATTTATTGTACGCAGTAGCTTTGCGTAATTAAATAAAATTTAGACCAGAAACTATCGTCAGACACTAACATAGAATTCGTTTTATAAGTAATGTGTATTTAAAAATATATTGATCAAGTTTTTTCTTACATAAAATATTAATCATTTCTTTTTTTACACCGATACCGATATAAATGATTTTGTCTTGATGTGTAATAACTTTACGCGCTGTACTCGTTTTCTAGACCGGAGGGTGAATTCACGCCACTTTGGATGCATCGAGTGAACAACGCTCTCATTGTTTGCAGCGTATACTTATCAACTTTTTTCTTTTTTTTCGCACCACCGATGCGCGAACATTTGCGATTAAAGTGCAAAAAATTTATGTTATGAGTGATAACGTAATAAATTTATATAATAAATATGTAAACTTTAAGGGGATGTAAACTTTCTAGTGTGTATATATATTCTGTCATCTGTTTTACCGACAAAAGTATCAGGTTGTTAAATGAGACAAGTATAAAATTAAAGATCCTTTCCCATAATTAAAAATTACACATGCTAACTGACTTTGGTCTATTTTGTATTAAAAACAGGAAAAACTTAAGAAATTATAATTTTTTTTTATTAACTTTTATTTTAATATGGCGATCAAAGAGAAGCTGTCAATAATCAAATTACTGAAACATTTATTTCATAAAATAGTTATGTAGGCCATGTGCTCGAAATAAAGGCAGAAGCAGATGTAAAGTAAATGAGTAATACGTAATGAGTAAATTTAGTATAGAAGCTTAATTAAAAATTTTTTTTATAAGTCGTGTATAAGCGTGCGATTAATATGATGTGTCTATAAATCTGTTTTCTGTGGCTGAACTAGTGTACATTTTTGAAATTTAAAGTGAAATAAGTATATGTTCGATATTTATCGAAAGCGAGAAAGAGAGTTACAGTATAATCTAGTGCAAAAACATAATACAGATCACATGTTTCGTAAATAGTATGTATGTAAGTCGCATTTAATTGATCAAACAGCAATTTCATCAATGTTTAATCGTCACGTTAGTATCCCTCTAACCCTCTAAAAAACTATTTTTATCAATAAAATAAATTTTATTTGGAAAAAATTGATTTTTTTTTTTTATGACTATATATATATATATATTACATATATTAATTATATATAATATATTATTGTGTAAATCGAATATAAGGTATCAATTATATGAAATAATTTTTCTTTCTAATATTTTAAGTGTAAAATAAAGATGTATGCATATAATCAACAAACACGGATGATAGCCGATGAAGAAATATTGGATAACAGAGTTTGCACTCTTGCCACTTGATGTCGCAATTGCTTTCGGATTTACTTCCTTTACTCTTATCATTTTCCTTGCATCCTGATTGACCTTCGGTTGGAAGTAGCGGAGTCCTCGTGTTCTCCTCGCTTTCGTTACTCTTACTACTTTCTTTATTTTCAGATTCGCTACTTCTATTACTTCTTGTTTTCTTTACTTTTGGAGATTTACTATTTTCATTATCCTCTTTAATTTCAAATTCACTGTTTTTTTTACTTTGCTATTTTTTTTTACTTTTAAATTCTTTACTCTTGTTATCTTCCTTGCTTCCAGATTGACCTTCGGTTGGAACTAAAGGAGTTATCACAATTTCCTAACTCTCCTATGACTTGACTTTAATTACGATTTAAAAATGAAAATATAAAACATTTCAGTTTTTTCTCAATTACATAAACATCAGTTATATAACATTGAGCTTCTCTCAAGCCAGAAATTTTAAACTGACTTCCAGTCTTCAATTTTTGTTAATTTCTAATAAGATCAACAAATATTTGTTTCTTTAATATGTCACCAGCAACAATTAAAATTTACGTGATAGTATATGCATCGTATATGTATATTTAACAAATAACTGATATTTTTTCATGAGCTCCTGAATATATATGTGGTTAGGATATTGTAATGAAACGTTAATTACATGTTATAAATGTTAATAATAATACACTGCCATTCTTGTTTAAAAGAAGAAAAATAGGAAATTCGGAAGGACTGATATATTATATCAGTATATTATTATTAGTCCGTTTTCAGAATACATTTAACAATGCCTGTTTATTTTTTAAGATTACATTTGTGAAATTGCAACATTTATAGATAACCTACAACAGTAGATGTTTTCAGGGCCGCAAGAAGACCAGCTTCCAAGAAATATCGTGTACCACTTGTCTCAATATTAGCTCACGTTACAATACATATTATGTACAAAACATATAGCAAGTAAATGGAAGTAAGTAATTTTAGATCGTGTCATATAACAAAGGAAATTCAAACATCTTTGTGTTTGAGATACACATAGTACATAGAAAATAATCTATGCCGATGTGTGTCATGTACGCTAATCTGTCATCTGAGTATTAAGAAGAAAATTATAAGATATATGACGACTCAGTTACGTTATTCAAATTTCATTATTTTAATTCAAGCTGACAATTCTGGCACAAAACCGATTTTGATAAGACCAATGACACTTTTCTGGTTCACTTGTTCAAGATTTGGCAATCCAAGATCTTTTGAGCTTCCATCTGTAAATGACAATAAATAAATCAAATTTAATAAATCGTAAATGACACAATGCATACCTATTGCTCTTACAATTGTTTTAATTAATACTTGAGATCAGTAAACTCGGTAAAAATCATCGCAGATAAAAGAATAAAAAAAGCATTTTAAAATCTGAAACTTACATTTTGGTATGTTTTTAGCCGTTTTTATCTTTACATTGTGTATGTGTGTGTGTGTGTGTTTTGTATCTTAACAAAAATTATATTGTTGTGTTTTTTAAAATCATGTACATTTAACAATTTCCAGCTTGATAAAATACTTTTTCAAAAAATTGAATACTTTTTATAAAATAGTACAGAGCTTTATGTACAAGATGTTTTTTCAAAAATTTTTTCACGATTTTTTCTACACTATATCTATACATATACTTAAATATCTTTCAAACGATATCTGTTCCAACACTGCTTGAAACAATATTTCCAATAAATAAATGGATATTTTCTTTCGAATATCACACGATGATTTATGATCAACAACTGTTACGTCGAAGCGATAAATCTTCCATAATTAGAATTAGTATAATTAAGAAATACACTGAGAAAATCAAGTGTGTTCCTACTATAATAACTTTTTATAATGATTTATTAAAGTTTTGAATTAAAACTTTGAGAATTAAAACTTTCATTTTCATAGTTCATACCTGAATAAACGAATATAATTTTAATAACTGTTCCAATGTTGCACCTTGCGACGAACAATCCGTATTACTCGATCTAATTCGCATATCTTGACTCCTTTTACCTTGGGCCCAATCGGTAGAAAAAGTTATTTGAGTTTCACTGTCCGCAACAAGGATTAAGAAAAGAAATGCTATACCGAATAAACTCATAGACTTCTTACAGAACCTTAAAGAAAATATTATTTTATATATATTATGTTACTATAAATACCGAGAATTATTGTACTTCAGTATCAAATTATCGATTGTAAATTCCGATTCTCGGAGATACTAATAAATTGAATTTATTATATTGAATAATTAATTAATATTTATTTAGTTTTAAATATTTATTAGTTTCATTACATTATAAATATTTATGTTTATTATATTACGTTATTATTGTAATAAAATATTTTTAAATATTTATATTGCTAACACCGTGGATGGTTAAATATGCATGAGATGTCATGCGTATGTAAAATATGTTCAAAGCTAATAATATTTCTTGAAGGAAATTCCAAAATATGTTCATAGTAATGCAATCAAAAATATATGCAATCTTTTATAAAATGTAGAAAAAAATTTTTTTTTAACTGTTATAATTCACAAATTTTTGCACGTAGTATGAAATTTAAACAAAATTTCAATAAAATAAAACATGATTCAAAAATTTCTTTTGTATTAATAACTGAATTTGTTTCAAGCACTTGCGTTATTCGCGTATCGAATATGTAATTAATTTGATGCAGTCATTGTAAGCAAACTTGACTGCTTGTATCGAGCTGAAATAGTCGCACTAGGTCCCACAGGAAATAAGAAGGAAATAAAAAATGAAGAAAAGAAAAAGAAAGACTCACATGTTAACACTTTCTTTTACAGATAAATGTGCAGAATGGTCTAATTTTTATTAGAGATAACGCACACAATGCCGATGTGCAAGAGAACTCTCGTTTACGAGAGTCTTTAGATGCGGTTGCTGGTTTTATACATTACTGGACCCCTTACTTCAACGCGCGCGCACATTACAACATCTCGATATATTCAATTGCTATCCCAAGTGGGATAATGAAAATTCTGCGCCGGCGTTAAGCGTTTTATTTTGCAAGCTGTCCTAAAGATCATTTCTCGCGCGATTTTAGCACAGATCGAAATTGTGGCGCTAATTGAGATATAAACGAAATTATGAATAATATGCTACGGATATAAATTTGAAGATATAATTCGTACGAATGCGATATACTTTATAATTTTGAATAATTGCGACTTTATTACTCTGAGACCGTCGATTATTTTCTGTGTGCATCCATGCGATAATTAGTAATATTAGTATGTATTTAACAATCGATAAAATTACAAATTTTATCACGTTATAATTACACCATAGTGAATATTAAATATTTATTTGCTACATTTGATTTTAAAAGTGAAATTATATACAGTCTTGATATACCTTTTTTTTTTTAGCAATCTTTATATATATTTTCCTTCAGAAGAGGTGTTTCGCGCAATAGAAATATTGATATTATATGAAAGATAAAATGAGTCAGAGGCGTAGAATAAATTAATTTTTTATGTAATACAGTGCGTTGTTTTAAAAAGAAAAATTATTTTAAAAATTGAAGTATATATATGAATAATAGTATATATAGAAAACTTGTAGAATATTAAAGAAAGGGTTCGAGATTATGTGTTTTGGTTTTTGTTTCATATATCGTTTTCTTTTTTTATATCCTCAATTTTGTATATTATTATTAAAAAAAGAGAGAAAAAAAAAATTTTATTAAGATTGATTTACATATATATGCAATATACATCTAATTTTTAGTATATTTATCAGATTATCAGATTATTATGAAAACATTATTTCAATATTAATATCAAAGATATTAATATTGAAATAATGTTTTCATAATATTCCAACTTGATATAATCAAAGCACAAATTGACTATTGATGCAGTCTCATATTACTTATTGAACTTGTAAGACTTTATTAAAGTGAAATTAATCAAGGATTAATCTTACAAATTTTCTTATTATTTATCAAATCATTGCAACAATAATTATTAAAATATAACTTACACATATGCATAGAAAAAGAAAGCATTTCAATTGTTGCACATTTTACATTAGTTTTATAATTGGAAGTAAAAAGGTGTTTTATATCGCTACAAATCTTGATGTAATATCTTATGGTTTATTTTTTATGGAAATAGTGTCTATTACTGTTAAAATTATTGTAGTGCACAGGTGTCATCATTGTGACGTATATAATTATGTTTAAAGAAATAAATTATATTGTTTGCGTCATTTGTTGCTAAATTAAATTAGTGTGTGCGACCGTGACGCTCGAAGGCTTCCGACTAATTTGCTAACGAGGAACATAGCAGGATGTGAAGCCACATCGATCATTTCATTAGTCAATATTACATATCTAACAAAGTATATTGAATTCTTGTGACGATCATCGTTGCACGATCATATGTCGTAATGTTAACAAACTACTATTTTAAAAAAATGTACTCTTATATGTATGAAATCTTTTTGTGCAAGCACACAACATTACTTAACGGGGTGATTAAAATAGGAAAACGTATATTCGAATTTTACTTTATTGCTACAAAAAAGAAATTACATATAACGAGCTAAAGATGGATCGAAGATAAAGGATAATGGTGCGTTGCCGTCGATTATCACATATTAAATGGTTCATGATAGTTCTTATTTCTAAATAATATACAAGCTTGTATACACGCGCACACGTTATGCTTATCACGTATATGTATTTTTTTAAATATCTAATTATTTGAATTTTTTTACAGAACGTTTTCATTAATGTATGGACATTGTCAGATCCAATTAAGATTTCGTTATTAAGATCTTAATTATAAAATCAAAAAATTCCTGATTTTCCTCTATCTTAAAGGCAGTGTCGAGTAAACATTTATCAACAGCATTTATGAACTTTTTATATTTTATGACCTATTTGTATTGTTCAACTCTGTGAATAATAGAAATGACAGTTACACAGATGTATGAAACTGGTGAGGAATAATGATAATGCTAATTTTTTTTTACAGTGCCGTGAAGTGTTGTACAAGTTTCACGGACAAGTCTCTTTAAGGATCTTTTAACAGGTGTGTATATAAAAAAATGCTTATTCACAGAAAAAAATGAAATTCTTATGCTCCTGCATACATAATGAGCTAATATCATTAATAGAATAATTAAAGAAAATCGAGCAATATTTAGCATTAGTTGTTGCACGCCTAATGGATGAATTTATTACAATTATTATTACCTTAATATCTTTATCATATAAACTTTAAATTGAAGTAACATCTTTGAACAACGCTTGCCAAATATCGTCTCAATGTAAAAAGGAAATGAACAGCACGGCAGTGCGCAAGAGTTAAATTTTAATACATATTACTTTTGTTGTGTATAGATCTGTTATATTTTATTCATTTCTCATCTTAATCGTTGTTCAATGGCAAGCCCCTAAATAACTCATAAACATTCCTATAAAGGAACGTTTAAAATCTGTTCTTCAACTCTTGAGATCACACGCATTCGCCTAAATTACATTTCTTGTCATATACATATGTTATACCTATATGAATTAAATTCACGATATGTACTAAGACTGCGCGGTACGTTGAGTTCTTTCCAACATCCGATTAACAAAAAACGAATATCGATATTCACTTTCGGTATCTCTTGTAAATATTAAATTATGACTTTTGATTGTGATTGCTTTTATCCATAAGATATGCTACGACCAATTTTTTCTTAATTATAAAAATAAGATTTAATATTTCTTGGTTATTTATACACGAAATGAATGAATTATAAAAAATTTACCGAATATAATTATATGTACAAATTTTATCAAGAAGGATTTAAACTTTTTAGAGGATAGCCTCTGAAAAGATTCTCTAAAAGTATATTTCTAGAGAATATCATATTTGTTTTATTACAATAGACGATACGTATATGTACAGTACATCTCATGATAAGTATTAAAATACATTCAACAAACGTTCTGTCATTACATTTATCTATTTGTCAATAAATTATAAAAATCTTAAAACGTACAAATAACCGAGAAACATTTGTATGAAAGTATGTCTCAACGTAACCACATGCAGGTAATACACATATATATATGTCACCTTTATTATGTATAAGAATCTTAAAAATAAGAGTATCCATGTATACCTAAATACTTGTCAATGGCATGAAGATACAGTAAAAATGACAGCGTTAATAATATTGAATAGTCAATAAAGAATACGAAGAACAAATGTTTCATGACGAATATGTGTTATGTCGTCCCAAAGCTATTTGCGAGCTGTGATACACAATGATCTTATCAATATGAGTTATTATTTATGGAATAAAGAGAAAGATTAATGTTCAAAGCGCACTATGGCACTCGCTCTTCATGCGTCGTTTCTTCGTTTGTCTATACTTGGATACAGTTGCTTATAACGATAAAGCCTTACTGGCGGAACAACATTACGGACAATCTTGCGATGAGAATAATTTTTTCGATTCTTATGAGAAATATACGTATAGAGGGTAAATATACTCAAAAAATTGTTTGCACTATACTAGTAGATTCCAAACAGAATATTGCAACAGATTGCTAGCGGAAATCGAGCACATATGTCATTTCGTAATTATTTAAATAGTATGTATATGTATCATTTTTCTACAATCAATCTGCTTATATTCTGTTAATTTTGTTATATTTCTATTGTGCCATTTTGCCAATAAAATTTGTAATACATTTCGACTTGGCTGCCTGCGTACGTATATGTACGTGTATATATACAATATGCTTATATATATATATATATATATATGCATAATTACACATGTACGCACACACGCGTGCACGCACACATATATTTTTATTTTGCGATATATATTGAATATAACAATACGTATGCAATATTGTATGTGTTCATTTTGATAATATTGATATCGTTACGCTTGTGGCATCATACATCATATATATACCTTCTTTCTCATTTATATATATGTAATTATTGAAATGTTATATAAATTAAAAAAAAACAGAAGAGTGGCGCTATATATTTTTTATTCTCATAAGAAGACTTGTCCATATTCTTTTATAATTATCTCATTGATCGCTTGATATTATTCAGTTATCTTTTATATCTATATATATCTCTCTCTTTATATATATATATTTTTTTTTACATAATATACGTATAAAAAATAGTCTAGAAATCTTGTAACTTGATGATTGCCAGACTCAAGAATGCAGATCTACCGACAAAAATTATGTTCTCGTTGTAGACTTGATTACGAAATCGTGTTGTTATCGACGTTTCATGAACTAATGTTATTTAATTATAATTTGTTTGCTACTGGAATGTAATGTAATATTTAAAGCTAATAAACCATATACAGGCAAGTGTTTTCTTGAATCTGGAAGTCAGTATATTTTACGAAGTTACTCAAGTTTTCATAGACGGCGAGTTCTAAAGTCAGTCACATAGCATTTCGTTGCTATTACATAATTATAAAAAAAGTATTAACAAAATAGACAGTAGCTCTTTCTCTTGTCCTAACTCGATGAATGAATAATTTTAAAAAGTGACTTAATACTTTGCCAACTTATGTATAGCGCAATATTTTTTAATTTAAAGAAAAAATAAACATATAACAAAAAGACACAACTTATACATAATATTTTTAATAAAAAAAGCTTTTGATAATTACAAACCAAAAAAGAACTTGAAAGAACAAAAGAATAAGTTTATATGAGTACAATTAAGTTTATTACATGAATTTTCTTTATCGTTTTATATTATTCTCCACAAATAATCAGAACAAAATAATCAGCGAAGTATTAAGTCGTTAACATAATACAATATTTATGCCACTACATTAAAAATACCAGGATGGTATTTCTAACAAATGGAGCATCGCTTATTGTAAAT